GTAGGTATGTGGGGGCGTGTTCGAACGAGCCGTTTTAGGTAGGTGTGGCGGACTCTTAACTTTTATAAAGAATATCTCTTTGGATTTGAGACTTTAGTCTTTGCAACTTTACAGATCTTCTTTATGCACCAAGAGCTTGTAACACTCCAAAGAGAAAGGAAAAATTGAAATCGCATCATATGACCCCTTTAAAAAATGTGACTTCAGGTCAGCAGTTTTGACTACAAGGCTGCCACATTCCCAACAAAACAGTGAAGAATTAACTGTCACAACAATTCTCATGAGAGTGTTACATGTCTGGAGAAGTGTATTAGTTTTATTTCCCCATAAAAAAAGGCAGACAGAACTACAAAAAAAAAAAAGAGTGAAAGAGGTAGGGTACATTGAGAACACCAAAGTCCAAACCTCATTGCTTTGATTGAGCTCAGACCAGTTCTGGTTCAGGGAAGGCATGGAAGGAGACTTATTTGGAGTGACCTCCACAGGAGAAGCAGAAAAGCCCACCTCAGGGGCAGGTTCTGGAACTCCTGAAACATACAGACAGACAGACAGACAATAAAGAACTTATGCAGACACCTGAACATCATTCAGCATGAATATGGAATTAGCAGAATAATATTGCATCTAAAGGTCATAAACATCATAAAACTTCACAAGGACTCTCAGGGTCCCAAGGGCATATTCTATGTTCCATTTTAATATGCGAAAACTGTTGCTAAGATACAGGCTCACTTCCTATCAAGCTGTTATTAGAATATTGTAATTAGAAGCAAGTTCATTCTCTGTCTACAATGAAACTAAAATGCTGAGAAGTAACAATATATCACAACCAACTGCAAAAATTTTTAGACTTTATATGTACTTATGAGGACTGAGATTTAAAAATCAGTTTATTGCAACCCAGAACATTAGCTAGTTAGGGCAAAAACTTAAGATTGAAAGACATTTTAGCTTTTAGCGTTTTAACTATTGTAGTGAGCCTGGTTATAAGAAAATGTTAAAAACACAGTTTAAAATGTGCCTATGTAAAATAACACAAAGAATATGACAATCACCACAATAACTGAACTATTGTTCAAAAAGTTGGGGTTGATAACATTTTTAAATGTTTTTGAAAGAAGTGTCTTATGTTCACCAAGGCTGTATTTATTTGATCAAAAATACAGTAAAACAGTAATACCACTTAAAATAACTTTTCTATTTTAATACATTTTAAAATGTAATTTATTCCTGTGATGGCAAAGCTGAATTTTCAGATTTATTCATGTTCATTATTCATATTGAAAACAGTTGGGCTGTGAAAAATGTGTTTTTTTATGGATAGCAAGTTCAAAAGAACAGCATTTATTTGAAATAGATTTTTTAGTAACAAAGAAAGTCTTTACTGTCAGTTACAATCAATTTATTGTGCCCTTGCTGAACAACCATATTAATTTCTTAAAAAAAAAAAAAAAAAAAAAAAAAAAAAGAGACCCCAAACCTTTGAATGGTAGTGCATGTGTCCAAATAGAGCTACAAAAAATGACTGTAACAAGGTTTCTGCAGGATTTTTAAGCTCAAATTTAAGACCTTTTTAAGACCTGCACAAATAAAATTAATACCATATGAGGGGGGTAGGGCAATGTCTATAGTACCATATTAAACTGTAAAATTACTGTAAAAAGCTTAATTTACAGTTCAGATACAAATTTTCACAAAAAAACAAATGTTTTATAAAATGATAAACTTTACATTTCAGCCTTTAAACCATTTTTAGGAAAATGGATGAGCCAAAAGTATTAATTATTATATTAATTTAAACAATTATTATCAATAAATTATAATATCAATTAAATAACATAAATTAGGGGTGTGCGATATTGACCAAAAATTATATCTCGATAATTTTCTGGGATTTTATCGATAACGATAATTAGACAATATTTTGCTATATTTTTTGTGCTGCTATCTTATCTCTAATTGTGCTAACAGCTGACTCCTGAATTTTTTGATATTCTTCATATTCTGTGTGGTCAGTTCCCAGCAGTGATAGGAAGTAACAAGTTTTATGGGCATTTTTACCTTTAAGCCATTTTTTTCTAAAAGTGTGCAACATCTTTTGAGTCAAATTCATTTAGGCTGCTACCAAGCAAATGAAATCAGTATCAACAAAATTGATCTTTGCAATGCAGAGGAAACACAGAAGCTGCATTAGAAGTGTCATTTAGATGCATTTACACACTGTTTAATG